ACGTTGAGCACACGGATGCGATTGTTGGGAGATAATGTCAGACAAGGAGCGACAATCGCGTGCTATCCTTGTTCCTCTAGCGTATCGCTTTACGGCCGAAATACGGCCGAAATACGGCCTGAAAATGCTTTCTGGCCTCTCGTGACAGCAGTAATGCAACAAGGCTAATAAGCGCCCACTTTATAAGAATTTTATACTTGCGTATATAAATATGTAGTGTGACGTGACGTTTTTGGGACGTCCGTCATAAGGGCCGAATGGCCCGATCGGGAGCGGTTTTTCGGGGGCCTGCGTCCTCCTAATTTAGGGAGAGAGCGGCCCGATCGTCAGATCGATGAGATGTGTCTTTTGTTTAGAATAATTATCGAAAATGTAAGTTCGATATGAGCCCGCGAGTTAGTTGTCGGCACATGGTTGAGCGGCGAGATCCCATCCGGCGGAAAGGGAAAGGAAGAAAGAAGAGCGACAGCCGAGAGCGGGAGTCCGGGACACCCAGGAAGCAGGAGACGTCAGGTCGTAGTTTTCTAACGTTAAAAACACTTTTGGTTGCTAGTACACCTCGCTGCCGGTAATTTTATCTTTTACGGCAGATACAGAGATGCGAAGGGACGGATGGAACCGGCCGAAGGGGCGGCCACTCCATCCGCACGAAGCGAGGGAGTCCCAGATACGGAGCGACGAGAGTACTCTCATCCATGGACCTATTCTACGAAATAGGAACGAGAGCCGATCGGACGCTACCGGAAATCCGCATCTCCCAGCCGAACAACTACAGATTTTGGAAATCCCGAGGCGAGGAGCCCACCAATACGGCCGTGACGATCACAAGGACCGCAAGGACCGCAGGACGGCCCTGCGTAACGCGAAAGCGCCACAGGTGGCACGATAGCGATTTATCGCACCGGCGTGTCTCCTGCAGGACTCTCGCTCGGCACTGTTCGGCGAGCTTTCCGGTAGGACGCAGGTCTCAGGACGTGAGCGAGCGATACAGAATTCGAAGGAACTGCGAAGTATTCCGACCGGTGGGACGAGCGTCGTCAAACCAATTTTGTTGCCGATTTATTGTAGATAATTAATTCGGATGAGTCGCGCTCTTAATAGTTGTCGAGCCACGCGTTTTGTGAATTAACTTTGTGGAATTTTTGGTAGATTACGTCGCACGGCCGACAGGCATTCGGCACTCATCCGAATTACATAAAATAAGCTCTCTCTAATTCATTTCGCCGCCGCCGACAGTCATTAATGTTAGTTTCGCGTTTATAATCATTGTATGTTGTAAATTATCGGGATTTTCACGCTCGCGCGATCGATATTCGGGATCGCGCAAAGTATTGCGTCACGCGACTCGTACACCACAGTCATTTTTGATAGTTTCCGTATTCTTTTTGTGTATTGTTAGCCACTATCTTGTACAAGTGATGCGTAATTAGAGTGAGGAAAAAGCATAATTCTCAAATACCGGGCAGAGTATCTATCGGGTGTCGTTGAGCCTGCTATTAGTTTCCCCGAGTCACTCGAAATATATTTCACGTATTTCAACGCAAAGGTCGTCGTCATTGTTATCGGGACACATACCTGCTCACCGCGAGCCGTGTTAAAAGACCGATTCGAGTCGTATAATCGGAAAAATTTCCATTGTATTGAGATGGGTTCCCGGACGTGCGTAAGGTAATTACCGGTGCGTTCGAGAGATTTCTTTAGTTGTCGTGGCCTGAATAAGTCACGTACGGTGGAAATCCTCGCGGCCTAAAAGTCGAGTTTAAATCACGTAAGGCGTCCGGTAATCCGATACTGTTGCGCGCGGTCGTGCCCATCTCCGCGGAAATAAATATCTCGTTCGCATGGAAAATATCAGCTGTCACCGAAAGCTATTGGTTATACGGACCACTTTATTCTTTTATTGTTAATATATTACTGTTATTTCTATTTCAAAACATTGAAGGCTTTATTTTAGCTCCCGTGTTCTCGATTCTCTACTTTCTCCCGTTCCCCGAGCCACCCCCTCTACCCCTTGGGAATACTGTCTAGCCGCGTATTCTGCCGTCGCGTTAATTATCGGTTCCGCTAATTTTTCTCGTGTTTGCTGTCGTCTTACGTGGTGCGGCCTGCCGTACCTGGCGCCCAACTCGGTTTTGTTTTTTTTCGCGTAAATTCTGATCTTTGAAGCGGAATCGATTTTCGAGGTACGCGCCGAAGGTGTGCCGTGGGCATCGAAAACCGCCCGCCGAATAAATAATTAAATAATTATTTAAAAATAAGAATACGGTTACAAATTGGCGCCCAACGTGGGGCCCACGCAAACGGGAAATAAGAGGTCGTGAACAACGGAGCTTTTGAATTAATATTGAGTATTATTATATTTGTGTGTGAACAAGAATTTTTTTTTGTTTGTAAAGAGAATAACTCCTACGATTCGAATCATCTGCACTCATTTCATCTATCAAAAGAACAGACCCTCTTATTCCAATCGACATACCCAGTGTTGCCTTTTCAAACAATCCCAGGTTATATAAACTGCTCCACTCATTTGTTAAAGGTCTCAACCTAAACATATAATCTTTGCAAACTCATAAGAAATAATGGTGTATGGGCGACTAATGCCCAACCAGCCATAAAAGAAGAAGAAGAAAAAGATGGTCGCATTTCATGGGCGCTGTTCGCAGTATGGTCGCCGGCCAATTCATGAACTACGCGTGCTGGACCTCGGAGCGTCGCCCAACGTAACCTCGCCAAAGTTCAAATGTTTATGTTCTTTGTTATGAACCGATGTTAAAAAAAAAGTGGAATCATGTCTAAAGTATGTTGTATTGTGAATTATGGGAGTAAGTGTCCCAATTTGGGTCCGACTAAAAGGACGCTATTTTCGGAGATCTATATTCAGATTCCCGAAGGTAAGTGTATTCTCGACATTTAAAAAATGGAAATTTACAGGTTTCTACTCCGTTTCAAGACGCACTACCTACCCAAGAGAACGAAGCAATAGAATACACCATCGAGGCATTGAAAAGAGACTTCGAAGCTCCAGAGCATTCCAGCGAGACAATTAAATGGGGAAAAGAGTTATTACCTGACGGCATCATTCTTTTTTACTGCGGTGATTCTGAGAAATATATAAGGAAAACGTTAGTAGTGAAAAAGGACATAAGCGTAAAGGTAATTTTTATTGTATATCTGATTCATAATAAAATAAAATTGTATTATCTTCGGTAATATTTCAGTATAATTGAAAAATTTTCATTTTCAGGTCCGACTTGGGGATGAAATTGTCAAGTTAAATATAGCGAACAAAGTTCATTGTTTTCAAGATGTTTCGTTTGCCATGAGAACTCTCAGCGAAAGTCATATATGCAGTGGACTCGATCATGACACTCCCTGTACTTATGGTTTTGTTGAATCAACGTCGAACCCGAACAGTCATAGACTACGTTTACACGTCACCCCTAATCGGGTTTAATAACATTCGTAGTTCGAAGGCTGGCCAATCACAGTCATTCCATTCTTCAGAGGAATAGCTGTGATTGGTCAGTTTCACAACTACGGATGTTATTAAACCCGATTAAGGGCCAATTTCACAAAGTCCGGTTAGATTAACCGACGGTTAAAATTAGCAGGGTGGCCAACAGAAAATAGAGGTGAAGGAAAACCAAGCATTCTTATCATTTCAGTTGGAACCCTGCTAAT